AACAGCTGTGCCATCTCTTCCATGGCAGCTGTGGCCCGCTCTCCCCCGACCATGGTGCAAGCGTCACCCCAGCTGAGCTGGCCCACGGAGGGCACTGCTTCGGGCTCACTCCGCCCTCTCAAAAGTTGAGACACACACTCGGGAAAAAGTACGTACGGTCAGAAAGCCACTTGCTCCAACGCCTGGGTAAAAACGAGGGGTCACCAGCCGCGTCTTAAGTGCGCCCAGGTGCACCACAAATTGCAGGTACGTTTACGGCTCTCACCATTGCCCTCTTCGTCGGCCATCCACAAATGGTGAAAGGCATGGCCCCCTGCTTTAGATCCAAATACCGAAAACAAATCAAAAAGCCGACAGGCTCCCTCTAAGGGTTACGCACACAGAGATATATGTATGTATGTATGTATATATTATAAATATGATCAGAAACAATGGTCACACACAAAAACAAAACGTTTTGCATGCCCTGCCTTGAGAGAGCCCTCTGCACGGAGCTCTTCTGCGCGAGCATCTCCCTGGCATTACAGTGACAATAGTCGAGTCAATAGTCACCATATATATATATATTTTATATTATATATTATATATATTATATATAATATATATAATATACATATATTCGACATGCCGGGGCTTTTTTGCCTGCTTCATCATTCTGAGTACATCATGTATGTCATTTTTTGTGCGAAATCACAAATCTGCAGAACTCTTGAGGTTCGCATTGTGTGAAGTTCTTGCTGCAAACGTCTTGCCTCCGCTCGAATTCTGGCTGCTTCGGCCTCCGCCTTTGCCTCTACACAGGTGCAGCAGCAAAACACCAGTGTGCCTTGCGACTGCATGTATGCTGAAGGCATGTAAACTTCAGAGCATCTAGATTCTAGATGCTGCAAAAAGCGGTGTCCTTGAGCAGAAGGGCTTGAGCATCACCTGACAAACAAAAACTGTGAAATCGCCAGCATGAGAGAAAGACAAGAAACTGTCACCCTTCAGATTGCCTCTAGCTGCCGTCTCCGTCTGTTCCGCAGCAACAGACGCCACAGCCTGGCAGGACATTGCAAGGCAGTCTCTCTTGCTCTTCATTGCATGTGACCTGTGGTTTAAATTGCATGCTGGGGTGAATTCCTTGCTTCCTCACGGTATCGCTCTTTGATATCGTCCCAAGATATCATTTGATGTCTCCCATCATTCTTCAAAAAAGAGCTGGCTGAGCATCTCATATCAGGAAAACATGCTTGGATAAAGTCATCAAACACGTGGATATTGAACTTGCCTCTTGTCTGGTCCTTTTTGTTCCTCTTGTTGCACCAAACTATATGTATATATATATTAAGTCTTTTCACACCCGTGGTACGTGTGCACCATCCCGACAATTTGTGCATATATGTGAAATAGCTGATGTTTTGTCTGTCTCTGTTGCTATAAATACTACCCACCTACTTGTCCTAGCTGTTCAACAGTCAATTTACACTGCGACGTAGATGTCCGTGCTATGCGCAGATGATTTTTCTGAATAGCTTATCTGCAACTGATGCTGTCCAACAAACTGAGCTTTCGCCAGATCCAGCTATGCAGTTCTCCATGGCTTGATATTGGCTTTGCTAGGGCAGCAAATTCTGCTCAGTAAACTCTTGGCCACGACACAGCATCCACTAAAAGAATGCAGAATTCGATTATTCAGAGCGGAAAGTCCTCAAATCAATCTTAAGTAGGCGGCAAGGCCCCTTGGCTTAGGGCATCAAGAAGACCACGATCAGATGGAGACGCAGATATCAGATTGATTGACCTTAGAAAGCATCTGCACGGCACAAGTGGCCAGGACTTTGGAGACATTCATCTGGTAATGTGTTCTTTTTCAATAGAAAAATGACGTAAGGTCACTATCCAAAGTCACTTGTATTTTGTGTAGTGTAGGATACACAAACTCAAGATATTGGTGTTGGCGTAGCCGCATGCAAACCATCAAATAAAATATTGGATCCCTATCTCAAATTATCAGGCACAATTGCAGCAAACGCTAGAGCTGATCTTCAGGCCACTGCAGGATTTTGACCCCATACTGATGGCCTCAAGAGCATGCTGAGGTGTCCTGCACTTTGTAGGTATATCGTGCCACTAGCATTCTTGCAGTCTGGGAGAGCAACGTCGAAAATCCTCCAATGTATCTTGGAGTCGAACAAATGGAGTTTGCATGTTCCGCGGACTTTTCCAGCCGATCTGGATCGAAAAGCGCCCTGCCATTTCCCACAACAGCGTTCAAGCAAGCACTTAAGCAAATGAAAGAATAAAGATCTGCTTTGAGCACCCATATGAAACCAATCACTTGTTAAACGTCTTCAATTGTGACCTCTATACATACTGTATATATATATATACTAGCTACCTCTTCCTTGGTGTGGTGTGCTTGCAGAACGCATCTCGAGCCTGCGTCCCTCATTGTCCACCTCAACTCCAGCCTGGTGGAGATAACACCAATGTCAGACAAAGTTTGTACAAAAATGGCAACTACAAAGAAGCAGCTGGACGGCACAACTACATGAAATGGTACTTTAGAGTCAAAACCTAGAAGGCAAATGTTTGGCAAATGTTTGACCCAATCATTTTTCCATGTCCCGCTCCAAGTCAAGAAACCTCGCGCTTCTTGTCCGTCTCACTTCGGGCCACCATGGCCTGGCAGAGGTGGGCACAGAGTTCACCACCAAAAGGTGTTGTTCCTAAAAGCACTAAAAGCACTAGTAACAAGGGCATCGCTACTAGGAGCAAGGAAGCTACTAGGGGTTCCTGGCCTTACTACTAGGAACAAGAAGCTACTAGGGGCTCCATCCCCGGTGAACCAGGGTAAGGAGGGTTTACCAGGCGTTCTATAGGAAAATACCCTCTATAGACTGGATTGTCCAGCCTTACATCCCTATAAAATGCAAAACCACTTCCACTATACAATGCTCGGTCCAGTCTCAAGGTTTGTTTTTTTGTTCCCAAAAAACTGCTTATATCTGCTTATTAAATGGTCAGATTGAGGTCAAGTATGAATATACTAGTGAAGACACATCCACTTCATCAACATGTTTTTCCCACCCTAGATGAATGTCTCTATGAAATGGTTATCCACATGTTTCATCTTCAACCATCATCCATTGATATTTCATTGAATTTCTGAACACACCCTTCTATATGTTGCCATGTTCAGGTTTATGTTACTTCTAATCCGGGGACCCTCTGTATAAAATGGGTCCTGGAAAGCCATTTTATAGATGTCAACCCTCACCATTTTATAGACCATCATTCACCGGGGATGGGGCTCCTGGCATCGCTACTAAAAGCACTAAAAGCCAAAGCACTGCTGCAAAGCACCAAAGCAGTCATTCTCAGACTGCCTCATGCCCATGCGCAGAGTAGCTGACGGAACCAATGAAGGAGGCCAATGAAGCAGTTACCTCAAGGACAGTCAGGCAAACCCGAATTGAAGCATACAAAACCTGGAAAGTCTTGAAGCTGAAAGTAGGCCAGGTAATATAGAAAGTTCAAGGGCAAGGCCTTGCTACATGAGGTACTTGTACCAACAATAGATACACTCAAAAAGTAAATGTGAGTCGGGTTTGATCCGGCCTGCCGCAGCACATCTTGCCGCAGCTTGCTGATATCGAACCTTGCAAGCTCTAAAGGCAAAGCAAAAGTGTGCATGTGTGCAAAACCGATGTTAGACTATATATGTGGTTGCACTTGTTTGGCGTGACAGTGTGAGCGCTGCGAGCACACTTTCCAAATGCACCCAAGTTGCTCTCCTTGATTTGCTGCCTGATTGCGCTGATTGTCCGCCTCAGCAAACAGCAAGGATTCATTCTGGCCTTTCCACAAGAACATCACACACCATCACACTATAAACTGTGATTCCATCTCCATCTCTATGCGCTTCTGGGTCATGGGCCATGGTGTTGGCTGCCATGCGCGCTGCCAGCTTTGCATCCTGCACAGAACAAATCAAAAATGAAAAGCGATATGCACAGCGAATCGGGCTCGTTTTCTCGATGCGAAGCGGCTATGGTATCGGTGCATGCCCTCCTGGAACTGTCGTCTCTGTCGATGGTTCCACATCTACACATGGAGGGTCATCCTATGTTCATCATGTACATACTCAAGGTTCATCTCTGCCATCAATGCTTCAACTTGTGCTTTGTCCAGGTGCTTTGTACCAAGATCTGCAACATTCTTTCGTGTTCCAACCTTGCTCAACTCCAACTCATGGTTCTGCGCCCGCTGTTGCAACCACAAAAACGACCGATCTATGTGCTTTGCCCGGCCGTGTCCCTTTCTGCTCAACATGGCCTTCGCAGCCGTGGCATCAAAGCACAATCGACCCTTCTTGGGCTCACCACAGAGCCATTGACATCGCCCCCAACAATGTTGAACCTGCTTTCACTCCTGCATAAAACTCTGACTCACCACTGCTCAATGAAATGACGTGTTGTGTGCTACTGTAAAACTTGAGAAGATGCGAACCATGCAACAATGCTCCACAAGATGTTGACTTCCTGGTCTTTGTACAACCGGCGTCATCACTGTCAGTGTACATAGTGAAGTGTTCTTGCGATAACTGTTCTGGTTATTTCCAAATCAATCTTGGAGCGCCATGCAAGTATCTCACCAACCGTTTCAAGCCATTCCAATCCGACCGACAAGGTTTTGCCATGGCCCTTGCAAGCTCCTTGCGCGCAAAAGCAATATCCGGCCTGTCCAGTGCAAGATAGCAACCCCTCATAGTCAAGCTTCTGAACCTGCTGCTTTCCTCTGGTGTCAGCATTTCTCCTTTCTGTTCAGTTCTCTTCACGCCTGCTGTAGGGGCACTCTTCGAATCAGTCAAGTTCAATTCCTTGACCAAAATTTGCACATGTCTAGGATCGGCCTCAATCGTTGTCTCATGCGGGCCATAGTGTACAAGTCGGCTCAAGATCATCGCATCCTGCACGTCCCCGTCATCAGGTCCCAACATACCACCATCTTTGATCTCATATCTTGTCAACAATTGCTTCTAACCAAAGAAGATCATCCTTGCGACCCAATGAAGTAACGTCGTCCCCATGAACTGAAATCTTGATGTCGCGAACACTGTGAAAATACAACACTGGACTCCCCAACCCTGGGGTAAAGCCTTGACTTGTGAAGAAGTCTGTGATTTCAATCTCCCACTGTCGAGCTGCGTCTCTGCACCCATACATGGCCTTGTTCAAACGACCACAGTAGCCTTCTTCTGCAGCTTCGGGTGGAAGTCGGACATAGACTGTTCTCTCAATCTTGGCAGTCCAATGTGCTCTTCTAATGTCTGTAAACATCACTTTGTAACCTTGCTTGCCTGAACGTTGAAGTGACAACAAAACTCTGATCGATTCCAAGGGTGGTGTAGCTGCAAAAATTGCTTCAACGCCACTGTGTCTCACCTCTTGAATGACCAACCTGCTTCGATAGTTTGGATGTTCAGCGTCGCCTTTGTTTATATCAATCCAACGGGATCCGATGGGTCCAGCCCCAGTCACATCCCATGCCTCTTGTGTTGGTACCAATCTCCAGACATTGTAGCGAGTGGCATAGTCTATCTCTTCCGCACGAGCTGCCCTCACCTTGCTCGTTTCAAGTGCTTTGCCCGAAACTTCATCAATGAATGTTGTCCAGTCCTCTTGGTCCAACACTGTCTGGTCAAAATATGGTTCTTCGTTCACGGGTCCAAACACTAAGGAACTGAGCGGTGACTTCTTCTGCATCTGTCGCTTCAATCCTTTCAAGATACGTTGCAAGAGGCCATCTGGATAGATCTCTGCCTGCTTTGCTTTGCCACCAATGAGTTGCACACGCCGATGCCACTGACTGTTGTCATCCTTGTAGTAGAAAGTTGTAGCAATGTCATGTGGCTGTCCATGCAACTGCCAACGAGTGGCTTGCTGAAAATCCTGAAGGTCTTGAAGCACTTCATTTGTGTTGAGATCCATTGTCACTCTTCTCACAACTTGTTTCCACGCAGGTCCACCTTTCTTCAATGATTGCAACTTGTTTGCATTGAAACCAACTCGCTTCCAAACCTTGAGTTCATTGTTCACATTCTTGCAAAGAACATTCAACTGCTCTGCAATACATTCTGAATTCGTCGTGAAGCCGGATGGTTTCTTCACAGCCCCAGTCCCATGCTCATCCTCTGCCTGCATACCAAACTGACACATGTCCCCACGAACCTTGTAAACTGTGTCAAGCTCTTCAAGCAGCCGGTGCATCGGATCTTCATTCCAAGAGGTTGCAAGAAAAGGATGTTCACGCAAGAAATATTTCTTCCTGCTCATCTGCTTCCGGTAGAGCTCACAGCAAAATGCTAGATGCTCCTTTGCCTCCGCCAGCTTCTGCACGTTGCCCCATGTATCTGCAAATCTCTGATTCAAGCCCTGCAAAATACTGAATGGTCCACACGGCGGACAACCCACTAGAAGTTCTGGCTGTAACTCATCAACTAACAAATGGGCGGCTTCTCGTCTGCTTGCTTGTGTGAAGCTCCAAGGATTGCCCTCATGGTCACAAGTCCTCAAGTCCAACGCTACACCTGCAATCAACCCTTTGTTGCGCCCAAATGCTGTCAAGCGTGGTGGAGAAAATACCTCAACGACAACTGGTTTCCGACCTGTTTGATCAATGCCGTAGGCCTCATACAAGCTCAAGCTCCCCAATTGTAACTTGATTTGTTGTTGCTCAATGAAATCATCACTCAACAGAACATCTGTTGCGTTTCCAACCAAGATGACTCTCTCAAACAAGGATGGCACGAACCGTGTTTGCTCAATGAAAACAATTGAAGTGAACTAATGTCCATCACCTGAGCTTGCTCCTCCACGCCATGCTCTTCTCCCATGCCTTCATCTTCAAGTAAGCCAACTGCTGTTCCAGGCGGCTCCTCGATGAACTCTATGTCAGGAATGCCCTCCTGACCTGACACTTCCTCCACCAGTGCACCGTCAGCCCCTTTTGGAACTTTTGCCTCTGGTGGTTCATCCATAGACAGTTTCCTCTTTCGAGCTTCTGCCTCATTTTGTTGCTCCTTGAACTTGACCATGAAACGCTCTGCGCGACGCTCCATGCGCTCCACTTTGTCACGACCCTCCTCAGTCTGCAACATGGCTTCCCTGATCCTTTGTTTGCAAGCTGAAGAATGTTGTTTGTGACTCAATCCAAGTTTAGCTGCTTCACAACCATCACAACCTGGAGTGTATCCATACTCTTCAAGTTCAATGTCCCGAAGGATGTAAATGCCTCGGGGCTCGTAACTCTTCTTTCTTTTCACCTCTTTCTCCTGCGTCGCCTCCGCAGCCTCTAAGTCCAATGCCGGCAACTCAACCTCAATCTCTTTTGCCAAACTCTCTTCTCCCATGTTCTTCTTCGGACGTAGCTGCCACGGAAGCCCGATCATATGTTGGAGTAGGGAACCATCCCATCGGTCACCCCCAAACTTGCACTTGATCGCCCAAATCGATGAACTCCTGTACCTGTACCAACCCACTTCATGGCTGATCCTTCCTGAATGCCCAAGAAGGTGCCTTCATCAAACTTAGGATCAAGTTTACTTCCAGATCTTTCACCCTTCAATGGTTGGTACCACACGCACTCGCCAAACTCCGGCGTCCTGATTCTCCACGGCTTTCCAGTCGAACGTTCAAACGGAGTCACCCCATCTGCACCTCGATTGCGTCTGCTGAGCAAGGCTGCTGCGTAATCAACCAACCAACCAAGTCAACACTGAATGCCGTGGGTGTATTGGTCCATAATGTCGCTCAAGTGCACTCTTCATTGTTCGAGCCTGGGCCTCAATCTTTCCAATGTAACTCTCAATGAGTCCATTGCTCTGCGACTCACCTTTGGTAGCATCCTCACACGACAAAGAAGGAAACAAACGCTGCAATTCGTTTCTCAAAGCAACCAACGACCTCTCATTGTCGCTCTTCAGAACTCCTCCAAGGCATCCCGAAACTTTCAAGAGCTTTGAGACTGCTGCAGCATTATATTGATGCTGTACACCCTTCTCTGGCATGCAAACGGCATATGTTCTGCCGGTCTGTTCTTCCACCATGGACAAATGGGCAAACTCTGTTCCTTTTCAAAATCTAAGGCTATCAAAGGTCTCCGTTGCTCTTTGGCATCCTGGCCCAGTCTCTGCTTGCGATGCGCCCCAGCCAAACCCTTGCCTCTGATGCAATCTGCACACCAGCTCCTGTATGGAATGTGGCTGATCATATGTTCACGCTTCTCCTCCTCCGTAGGTCCAATGGGAACGCGGAGCGCCAATCTCTTTGAAGTAGCCTCCTGGACCTCATCTTCTAAATCTCTTGCATGAGATGCCACAACGTCCAAGTCTCCTTCACTCGGCTCATACTGCTCATAGTGTTCCGGAAGTGGCAACTCGGGAACTCTAGTGTGGCCTTGATATAGGTCACTGCGATCGCGCACACCATCATCGAATTCAAGATGGGAACCTGAATCTCTCAACTCTTGCGGCTCCTCATCCAACGCATGCAACTCATAGCGGGCCTTACGCCTGCGGATCCGCCGGGGCACTGCTCCCCGTCGGCTGCCTGCAGAAACCCGTTGTCTCGGCATACGGGATCACATGGAGGTACAAATTGAAAACTGCATCCTCCTGGTACCTGGTACAAATTGAATGTATCACCCGTTTCTTTGTCCTCAATGTAACTGCGCTCACCCTCCGACTCCAAGACAATCCGATGCCCTTGGTTGCAAATCTGAGCTGCTGATGTCAGTTAACACCTTGCCAACTGCTGCCACCTGAAATACCATCTCTCTCAAGTGACCTTCTGCACTCATCACAATTGGCCTGACCTCACCATTATGCTCAACCGTCTCTTCATTTGCCGCAACCAAAACTAGCTCTTCTTCACTCTCCCTGGCCAGCACCGGGTAATCTGGAAACGTTCCCGGAGGGCAAACTGCCATTGCTGCTCCACTGTCAACATTCGAAAGCACTGCGTTCTGCTCTGTCCCTTGCCCATCTGCACTCGACCCCGCTCCTGAGCCTCTTGCCCTTTTCGCACGCCGACTGCTCAATGCTGACAACCTCTTGATGGTGATGCCACCGACCAACTGCTGGGCTTGCGACGCTGATGGACCCAACACTGAACTGGCCGACGACAATGCTCCAACAACACTGGACTGTGGTGAACGCTGCACGGCCTGTCCTGCATTTGAACCACTGTTGATCTTCTGGAAATCCTCAACTGCCCTTCTTGCATACTCTGACTGCAGCTGTGACAACCTGGGATCAACAGAATTCAACGGTTTCACCTTCTTGTTCCAACAGTATTCAGCCGTATGGCCCACTTTGCCACAATTCGAACAAGCTGGCTTGTTCTTGCCTTTGCCGCCCTCTTTTGAATGATGCTTTTCCTTTTCCTTTGGAATCTTTTCCTCCTTTACCTTTTCCTTTGTCTTTGCTCTTGCCCTTCCCAGCTCCTTGACCACCTTCCGCTCGTTTGGGGCAATCTTTGGCTAGATGCGGTCCTCCACACTCAAAACAACCTCCTCCTTTGCCTGAGCCTTTCGACTGCAACGAACCAATGTCCATGCTGGTGGCGGTCAACGACTGAGTGTGCTCAATGTAAGTGAAAATCTCCTCCCGCAGCTCCATGTAGGTTGTATACCTCTGTGCATTCAACTGAAGATGTTCCCTCAGTCGATTGGGACACATGGAAACTACTGCGGCCATCTTGATCGCCTCACTGATCTTCTCTGCGTGCGGCCTTGCTTCAAACTCGGTAATCTTTGTCTCCCACGACACAATCTCTCCTGCCAACTGTGCCAAAGGAACATTTGCTGGTGGGTTTGCAATCGTAGTCAACCCTGCTCTCTGCCGACCAATGGTGACTGGATTGAAGCGCCTTTGTAACAACTTCCAAGCCTCATACCCATTTGGCCGTCTTGCCTGCCTGACAATGTTGCGAGCCTCACCAACTGTAAACGTGATCAACACCGCATACAAAGTGGAATTTAAATACTCCAATGTTGCCCTGTCAATGTTGGGAAAATGCAATGACAAATCATCAATCGAAACTTGTGCTGCTGGTTGTGTGTCCTTGATGTGTTCAAGCAACTCCCAAGTCCCTGGAATCTGAGCATCAACGCAGGTGATCACATGGTCACTCCAATCGTTGAATGCTGCATACCCAGGACTCTTGACAGGATCATAGGTGCTTGGCTTCGAGAGCACCTTAGCATCAACTCCACTGCTGGATGGCATAGGCAATTGCCGGATTCACACCTGGCCCCAATCCTCCGAGCCCGGCTACCCCTGCAGGTCCGCCAAGGATGAAAGTCGGCGGTGGAATGAACTGTGCATTCGGCGCAGCCGCCGCTGGCATAGGAGGTGTTCCAAGCGGCGACCCTTGAGCTTGATGTTGAGGCGAACCTTGAACTCCGGGCGCAATCTGAGGGCTTTGTGGTGGAGATCCGGGAACCGGCACCTGCGCCGCTGTCTGTTGTTGCATCTGCTGGTGCATACCTTGTAACGCTTGCGACAAATTCAACACTTCCTGATGACTCTGTTGAATGGCAGCCTCGATCTGCTGTTGCATCAACACCTGGCCCTGCTGCATCTGCTGAATCTGTCCTTGAGCATCTTGTTGATTCTGTTGCATGGCGGCCTGAACCTGTTGTACAACTTCCTGAACAACACTTTCAGCTGTGTCACGCCAACACCTTGAGCTGTGGTCCCAACTGCTTGTTGCAATGTGTCCAACCTAGCACGCTGCTGCTGTTCAGTCGCCATCGCCTGCAACATATTCACAATCTGACCCAACTCGTTGGCTCCCGCTCCACCGTTGGCAGCACCATCCGCCATCAAGACACTGAAAACAACCGGGGTGAATAAAAGTCCAACCAATGTCAAAAATGCAATGATCAGCCTCCAACCCAACAGTGTCCAGCTCACACGGAATCCGGTTCCGCCTTCCCGGCGCGTGCTGGCGATGCCTCGCAAGAGAATCTCACCTGTCTCAGCTGAACGTGTCACAAGATTCGATTTCGGTGAGAGACCCCTGCGACGCATCAACCAGCCAAGTGACTCGTCTGCTGTTGTTCAAGCGGCCAGCTCCGCTACCATGAAAAGCGATATGCACAGCGAATCGGGCGCGTTTTCTCGATGCGAAGCGGCTATGGTATCGGTGCAAAAAGCATTGGCCTGCCCTTTGGAGGAATACTATGTACAGTAAAATAAGAGTTCCACAAAATAAGATGAAATAAGCATCCCCAGAGAACTTGGTAATTATGCTAGATATGAGCAATTGCATAAGTCGGACCCTGTCCACAGGAACAAGCGAAAAATGAGAAGTGGCATTGAGAATATCATCTGTGGAGGTACCAGGGTTGTTGCATTTCCCAAAACCAGTAGCTTGCCGTTGCAGGGTGTGGGCGTTGACTAAAAGCGACTGGGCATACCAAGCATTTCACTCCCGTTGCTTTTCAAAAGGAAAAAGGGAAGTTGCGTGGTGTCGTGGTGCGATGAAAGCAACGTGGTGCCATGCTGTGAGCAAAGCCAGAAAGCCGGCGTAAAGAATTTAGAAGTGTGACAGTGGCGGGGAGCTGTGCTTGACGTCTGGCAACGTGGAAAAGATCAAAAGAGGAAGCGACATGCCTAGCTGCTGCAAAGCAAGACTTGGGGCCTTTGGGAAGATCCTTGGCCTTCGAAGGCCGTTTCGGCCAGGCACGACTTTTTGACGCAAGGCGCAATATTTTTTCCACAAGAACAACCCTGCTGTTCCCAGCCACTTCGATCCTCATGCCACACCATGTCATGTCTCATGCGCATTGGTGGTTTCGCTAAAATATCACAACACGACAACTGCACGCGTTGCTCTAAGTTGGGGCCGATCAGTGATAGGTGTGACATTATATCAAATTATATGCACATGCATACAAAAGCCCCAGACGATCATATTGACTGTTTGAGCAGTTGCACGTTAACTTCACTCCTGCCTCAATCAGCCAGTTGACAGTGGCTGTAGCTTCCAGTGGGACATTGTCCCCCGTGGTCACCTGAGGTATCCCGACAGGACACGCAAATGCAAAAACTTAGATAGATACAAAAGCCCCCAACGAACGGCTCAAGCCTGAGAAAACCTTTACAAACCACACTTTAACTGTACCTCCACGTCAGGAAGCGGGAGAGTATCAAAGGTTCAACTCTCACGGTCTGCTTACAGTACGGGTTAACGGAGTTAGCCTAGTTAACTCGCATCAATGGGTATCATAGTTTAGCCATCTTTAGCCGGTCAATTAAAGTGCAATCTGAATGTTGACTGACCACTTGAAGATATTTTCGAGCATAGCAAGGTGCTCTGATGCTATGTAGCCTTGTCTTGATCTGAGTTTGTATTCCAATGCAAGTTTCATGACAAAATGTTCTTGCGACCCGACTAGAAACAGCCATGCTGGCAACACGAAGCGTGCGAAACCACATGTACTTGCATGTCGCGTGAGACCTGGTATATCTTGTCGTGTATAGATTAGTTTATCGATGTTTTTTGTAGTTTAACCCCGTCTCAGAGTCTCCCTGCCTTCATAGGCCCAACGTCGTTTGTTTGAAGCTTCTTCGTCATGAACTTCTCAAACTCAGTAGGGTGGGCATTGATTGAAGAACAAGTGAGTGTGGACAGGGCGCGCCTTCCAATTCCTGTGGGTCAGCATGTAGGCACGGCCTGGATGGTTCGTGTGAAGTCTTCATTGCAAGATTTTGCAAGCATGGCCTCCGACCTAAGAGCGATGGCCTCCAACCTAATAGCAATGGCCTCCAACGTAAGAGCGATGGCCTCCAACCTAAGAGCGATGGCCTC